AGGGAGGGGAAAGAAAGGAAGAAGGAAAGAAATGGGGACACAGGAAAGCCCTTCCTTACAGAAGACAGCTAACTACTAAATGTAGAATGAATGATGGGATTAAAAAACAGCATTTTAGCAAATATCATAGTAATAACTGATTCAGGCAAGAATTATCAGTGGGTGCTAAAATTAGTGAGTGCAAATGGGAGCAGTTACAGGATATTTACATGCTCTCGATACAGAGAAAAATTAGTAACTATACAGTGGAGAAACCTGACAGACGCCACACTAACCAAATTATTAATGCTAACAACATCAGTAACAGATCAAATCAACATCCTGTGCCTCCTGATATGATGCACTGTGAAGAATCAAGCATCACTTCTGATATTTCTGCCAATCACGATTATCATGAGAAACATCACACAAACCCAAATTGGCGTACACCTTTCAAAAATGTCAATGTCATGAAACACAAAGAAAGACTGAGTATCCAAATTAAAGGAGATTAAAGAAATATAACAACTGAAAATTCATGACCCAGGATTTTTTTTTGGTATAAGACATTGCTGGGACAACTGATGACATCTGAATAAGATCTATAGGATTAGATCATAGTATTGTATCAAAGTTAATTTCCTGATTTTGAAAATTGTACAGTGGTTATGAAAGGAAATATCCTTGTTTTCTTAGCAATATACACTGAAGTATTTATGGATAAAGGGACATCACATAGATAACTCTCAAACAGCTGAAGGAAAAATGTGTTTAGAAAAGGAGGCAGGGAGGGATAAAACATGTAAAATATTCACATAGATAATCTGGGTGAAGAGTATCTCTTTGTACTCTCGTAACTTTTTTGTTAGTTTCATGTTATATCAAAATAACGTTTAAAAAACCAAAAGTGTTATGTAACTCATATTTCACTAAGTCAGAATAACCTCCATAATTAGAGTAAATAATTGAGATTTTATTCTGTATCTTTTTTTACTCTGTCCAGGGATATTAGGTCCTTCCTTCATAGAGGCAGTGTAGCAGTAATGGTTGTGAGTGGTGTAGGAAAAGGAAACTAAAGCAGCTGAGGCTAGGAAGCTAGACTAAAGCCACTACAAAAAGCTGAGTGCTGTTCTCACTGACTACTTACTTACTATGGGTTGGAAAAATCAATAAACAGTTCACCTCAAAAGCAATCTAGCAAAAAAACCACAAAACCTGATAAATGTAACTAAATAAAACATAAAACTGCACATGGAGGAGGTATCTTAAACATGTATAGCCACGAAAACAAAAATACAGATCTACATATATTGATATGGAAAGATATCCAAGATATACCAGGTAGGTAGAAAATGCAAGTTTTAGAAGAGTATATAGAGTATAACCAAATTTGTGTAAAATAAAATAAGGCACACTTCCACATGCAGAGAAAACTTCTGATGGATAAACAGAAAACACATAAAACCAGTTATCTCTAGGAGTGGAAATAAGGAGCCCAAGGGATTGTTTTTTTATTGATGAAGAAAAGGCTAATTTAAAGAATAGTTGACTTTTTCACAATGTAAATATACTTAATACTACTGAACTATACCCTTAAAAATTATTAAGATGGTAAATTTTTATGTTATGTGTTTTTACCACCAAAAAAAAAAGCATAAACAAAATTTGACCTAGTTGGTAAGGAAGTGGCTAAACTGGAGCTAGAAATATAAAATGGTGCAGCTACTGTAGAAAAGAGTTCAGCTGTTTCCTAAAATGTTAAACATAGATTTACCATATGACCTAGCAATTTCACTCTTAGGTATCTACCCAAGAGAAATAAAAACATATGTCTACACATATATTGGGGGTTGCAGGTAGGAATGGGGAGTGATTGTAGATGAGCATGAGATTCCTTTTTGAGGTTATGGAAATGTTCTAATATTAGATAGTAGTGATGGTTACACAACTCTCTAAATTTGCTAAACTTCAAGCAGAAATAGGAAAAAAGAAACCTACTTGACAAGAAACCATACACTCACTCCTGTTAACTGTATCCCACACAACAGCCTCCAGCCTCCCCACAAGCCTTACCTTTTCTAACCGCTCGGGGCTTGGCATTGGCAATATCTGCCGCTTGGCTTCCTGCTCTAGAGTTAGCAGCATGTTCCTTTCTTTCAGGAGGACATACCTATATAAAGAACGCAACGCTTGTGATGCTATTTGGTGATAACATTAATCAAGTTGTGACTTTTGACATCAAAATTAATGATCTGTTTTCAAAAGTCCTTTAGAAATCTCAATATACAGAATATCATTACAAAGAATAATCCTTTCTCCATCCTTGAATCATACTTTGGTCTTTCTGGTGACGAGCCTCCATTCTGAAACTATCTAGGGCAAATATCTCCCTTCCCCCCCACCCCCACACCAAGAGTTGCCTAATTAGAACAAGACACTCCTGTCACTCAGGAAATAGCATGGGATTTAGAAGCTGTGTGTCAAAGAATGAGGACAAAGACTCAATATATATTTCTTATTGCATCACATGATAAGCCTATAATATTAGTGGTTTTTATAAGCATTTTATAATTCTTTAATCTGATATGAAAGATAAATAACCCTTTAAATGAGTGGAAAAAACTTTCAATGCCTACTACAGTGTGCAGCTGGATAACAATTATGAGTAAAGTGGGCTTGGTGAAAGAACAGGGTGGGTAAGAGGTGGTATGCACTGCTCCATCAGATTGGGCAGTGGCTACACAGAATGGGCAGTTGTTGCAATGTAGGGATGTGGGTCCAGTGTTTCCAGATCAGAGGTCTGATTATTCAAGAGGAACCAGAAATCCTGATTTTTGTGTGAAATTTCCCAATTTTAAGAACATAGTGAAGTCCAAACAAAACATATCTTTGGGCTAAATATAGTCAGTTACTATAGGGGGTGGTGAGGGTGGGTGAAATGGGTGAAGGGGGTCAAAAGGTACAAATTTCCAGTTATAAAATGAGTAAGTCACAGAAATGTAATGTACAGCACGGTGATTATAGTTAATAATACTGTATTGCATATATGAAAGTAGCTAGGAGAATAGATCTTGAAAGTTTTCATCATAGGGAAATAAAAATTTGTAACTAGGTCTGGTGATAGATGGTACCTGGACTTACTGTGATGATCATTTTGCAATATATACAAATATCGATCATTACATTGTACACCTGCAACTAATATAATGTTATGTCAATTTTATCTCAATAAAAAAAATATATACATATACAGTCAATTAAAAATACAACCCTGTCTTAAATCCTCTTATCCTTCTCTAATTCATCAGAAGCTGCCAGAAAATCCTACCTAAATTCCCTTTTAAATGCACCCTCCAACACACTTCCCCAAAGCAAATAAGCTAATGATTTCAGACTATGCAAAAGGTAATAAAAAGGAGAGGGCCTAAATGTGACCAACTCTTCTCATGTTATTAGTTTACTGAAATTGTTAATATTATATAAAGGTGCTAGTATGAAAGGTAGCAGTTATAGTAAAATGTCTAAACCCCTAACTACTTGAGAACTCTGATATATTTGTCTTAAAGTAATTTAACCTGTCATATTTGTAAAATCTTTAATGATCATGTATCATCCACAGTACTATAAGACAAGTCACTTTACTCAATTTCTTACATCACATAGATACAAAATTTATACCTCACTGTCATAATTTAACTGCTCAAACACTCAGATGTTAATGTCTTCTGTGCATCTTAAAAGTTTTCATCACAGGGCAAAAAAAATTTGTAACTATGTCTGGTAATAGATGTTACCTGGACTTACCAAAGTTTATGTAAATCTTCATTACTTTTGTTCCTTAATTGCTGACAGGTCCATGAAGCTCCTATTAAGATGATAAATTCATAACATGAAATAATTTTCTAGCTATGTGCCCTTTGGTATATTACTTAACCTCTCTAAACCTGTTTCTGTATCTGTAAAATGTATAATAGCTTCATTATATTACAATATAATATATAATTAGGAATTAAATTAGATAACACATATGAAAATATGAGTGATGAGACTGGCAATAGCATTAAAAAAATGTTAGCATTACTATAGAATGTATTTTTGCAGTCTAATGTCAAAATGCTTTATATCATTATAAATTAATTTTCAATTATCTCTAAAAAGTGAAATCTAAAACAACCCTCAAACAGCAATTTAGCGAATAATTTCAACCTAACTCCTCTTCTAAACCTTTTGCCAACCTGCCAAGGAACAATTAACTCTATTATTATACTGTTCTTTTAATTTTCACTAATAGATATTATCTCAAAGGAAATCGAAAGAGGAAACACCCCAATAATTCCCAAACTGGATAAATAATCCCCAAATGATGGATGGTTCAATAAATATATTTAGTATTAATTAACCCAAATATCTCACCAGATTTCACTTTTTCTTGCCCCCAATTCTTTGGGTCATCAAAAAATTCTTCTAGTCCTTTCCTTGACAACGTGGTATGAAATAATCTACACTGGTGTAAAGATGTGATATTTGGTGTATTCTTAAGCAACAGATTAAGAGAAAACCTGAGATTGAACACATATAAACAAGAGATTAAAGTTGTACAATATTTGGATTTTTAAGCAATAAATAAATGCAATCAATCATTTTCTCATCTACATGTTAAAAAAATCTGTTTTTGCAAAAGAAACAATAAACTTATAAAATACTTTAGAAATTATTTTTAGTATTGCATTGTAGATAGATATTGCTACCTATAATTTCAGAGGTAATATATTTACATAGTTATACTTCAAGGTAACATTTGTATGTCCTTCATACACATGCTAGTGGGTATATGAATAGATTAAAAACATTCTGGTTAATTTTGCAACATGTATCAGAGGTCCCAATCCTTCTTCCCTTAGTAATTATATATTTACAAATTTCAACTAAAGAAATTATCATAGTCAGGAATTGATAAATTAAAATGTCTATTAAAGCATTAAATATGATATCAAAAAACTGATAACGTAAATGTGTAACCAGAGAATGGTTTGAAAAATACTGTGCACCCGTATGATAATCTATTATGCATCTTTAAAACTAATGTTTTTAAAGAATAATTACCTGGTTAAATAATTTAAAATACAATAGTGAAGGGTATCAAAAGTGTTGTATTCCTACCAAAAACATTTAACCTGAATCTAGTCATGAGGAAACAATCAGACAAATCCAAATGGAGGAATATTTTAAAATAGTCGATCTTATAAAAAATGTCAAGGTCATGAACGAGAAGAAAAGGAGCCATTCTGGATTAAAAAGACAAAAGAGACATGACAACTGATGCAATAAACCATGATTGACTAGATTCTGAATAAAAAATTAAAGAAAAAAATTACCAGGACAATTGAGGACACCTGAATTTGGGCTGTAAGTTAGATAATAGTACCATAATAATAGTAGTGTATCAATATTAAATTCTCTAGTGTTATCCATGGAGTATTCTGATTAAGACACTGTTCTTATTCTTAGGAGATATATACTGAAGTGTCACGATGTTTGCAATTCTGACATGTCTTAAATAGTTCAGTAAAAAAAAAAAAGGCATGGCTATTAAGAGATAAAGAAAATTTAACAAAACGCTAAGGATTGATTAATATAGATGGAGAATATATAGTTACCTTTGTACTACTCTTACAACTTTTCTGTTGGCTTGAAGTAAAATAAAATAAAAAGTTGGGGAAACAAGGATAGCGCACAAGAATGCTCTACCCAACTATTTATAAAATTCAAATCATTATAGACGAAAGCTAATAAAAGGGAGGAAACCATACACCCTAAAGTAAAAAATTATCAGTATGATCAGAGACAAGCTGACTTTCCAGAAATAATGAACACCGTGTGTAGGATGCCCCTTTCTCACACCTGCAAGGACGACTTTTCGCTCATTTGGCTACTTTCATTTATTCACGTTAACATTTATTGAACAATCTCCTGTGACAGATTCTTTGAGTACAAAGGTCCCTTCTTTTTCATCCATCCTAACATGACACAGTCTTCATTCAGTTCAACAGCCAAAAGCACTTCAGTGAAGTTTTTCGCAACTCACCCAGCCAAACAGGATGCTTCTGTACCTCTAGGTTTACAGACCCCATGTACTGCCTAATCCACAGTATGTGGCAACAAAATGTTTGAGGAAGGAATGGAAATGTCGGAGGTGGGCGACTTCTCCAAGGTCACTCATTCCTCGCAGAGTGGTTTCGGGTTCAGTCAACCCGGCGGCCTTTCTATCCCTGGGCTGTTCTCAGCATCTCAGCAACCAAACAAGATCCCAAGTTGGCGAGGTAGACAAACCTACTCTTCACATCACTTACCCTGTGCTAGCCGGGGCCTGAGGACTAATTAACGACCTGGAAGTCTTCAGAGCGGCTGACACTCTCCTGCAAAGAACGGCCAAACTGGCTGCAGCCATTTCTGCACATCAGTAAGCAAACCGCGTTTCCGCCAATAATGACGTCACTTCCTATGTCTCACGCCGACGGGACGGAGGGAACCGGAACAGCCTTTGCCCTCACTCAACATGGCCACCTTCCGCCTTCGCCCTCGTTGGTAAATTGGCTCTCTCGGCTTCCGTTACTACCTTCTCTCCACCCCCCCCCGCCCCTTCCAGTCGCCGCAATAGCCATGGCGTCCATGAGTTTACTGCAGCGGGCTTCGGTCACTGCGGTGGCCGCACTGTGTGGCCGCCGCCTTGGCACTCGGCTTGGTTTCGGGGGCTTCCTCACGCGAGGCGTTCCGAAGACTATCGGTGGGTGCTGGCCCAGGAAGAAAGCGTTCTCAGGGGAAGTGGGGCGAGGGATAGAGGACTGTTCCCCGTGACCTTGGTGGGACCCGGAGGGAGCCGGGAGAAATTGCGGGCTTGGGGCTTGAGAGGCGAGATGGAGCATGGGCTGTGTGGGGAGACAAGAGTCTTCCTTAAGCACTCAGGTCGGTCGCGTTTAAAGTATTAACATTTGTGAAGCACGTTACCATTCAGCCATCCCAGGTGGTACTATTCATAATTTGCGGGTGACGCTGAGGTTGGAAAGGCACAGACGGAGCCCAGACCCCTGTCACGTCGCTCAGGCCCCAGGTTGTGTGTACGTTCCACCTGCACTAGGTTCTAGTCCCGCAGATGGGAAGTCATGTGCCCGAGGAGCCCACTGATGCTCAGTAATGTGTAGACCGGTGGAGAGCCTCCTGATGAGGCACTATATGTAGGGACTTACTGGAAATAGGATGGAAAGGATCCGGATGGTATGCAACAAATAGCCAGCAGGAATTTGAACCTGTTACAAAACGACTTTGCTAATGTTCCTTGATAAAAATCCTATTTGAAAGCCATTTCTGATTACAGATATCCTCTCATTCAAATACTTCCCCGGATAGTATTTAACCATGCCAGGCTTTAGCTAAACTGAGGTACGGATTCACTCCCAGATCCCTTTATACACTATTCCCAATTCTTGGAGTTTAGGTCATCTGTGTCCTTTCCACTGGGAGCAGGAAAGCATTGATAGCTATGCTGAGGGTTACTGTGTTTTGTCTGTGTACTTTCTTTCAAAGGTGTTTTGCAGGTGAAGGCTTATCTGTCACTATGCACTGAAAGGTTTGAATCTGTTGTATTACTGTTTATGTCTGCACCTGTGACATTGTGAGCTCCAGCGGGGTACAGAACCTTGTTTTGTTTTGTTTCCTCTGGAGTTAGAGGACGAGGTTCCAATCCTAGCTCCAGAGTTTACTAGCTATGTGACCTTGGGTCATCACATCTTGGAAGCTAAGTGGAAGACTTAATTGCTTGTAACCTGTATTTCTTCATCTTTAAAAAAGAACCCTTAACAAAAATTTTTTTTTATTACAGGTGTGCTTATTTTCTGTTGACAGGAAATAAAATAAAACTAACCTCTTTCCCATTGACAAGTATTTAGAACTCTGAAATGTATTTCTGCATAATTTTGTATATTTCTAGAAGTGGCATTTTGAAATGAACTTGTCTCTTACCATAAGAACTGGAGAGAGAGAGAGAGACAGAGAGAGAGAGAGAAAATGATAATTTTAACCTACTTCATAAGGTAGTTGTGAAGAGTGAGCAGGAAAAACCTTCACTCAGCATTAGCCTTTTACAGGGTTTTGTGGCCGCATCTTACTTAAATGTCTAGTACTGTTATGTTATCTTCATTTGCCCTCAGTGTAAACCTTTCTCAGCATATATAAAAGTGTTCTATTTAAATTATTTATTAAATATCAAATATCAAGGGATTACAGACATGAAATTAAGTCCTCCCCTCAACTGCAGGAAACCTTAATGTTGAGACTGATGTGTGCATATTTTGGTTTTAGAAAAATAAGAGTATTAAAATGGTTATATAAACAAAGTGGTGTGGAGTTAATTCAGGCATGGAAGATGGGGCATTTTAACTGGATTTTGGGGATAGTTTTTACAGGTGCTATTACAGATGGAAAAATAATATGTTTCCTGATATATCTGAATATGGGACTCTTAAGATAAGATGTTTAGCTGTTGAGAGAGAAGGCTAAAAAAGGGAAGTTGGGACCAACTTGGGGAGGGCAGGGACTGAACACAAAGTGAAAGTATCTTAACTATTTTGTAGACAGCAGAGAGTGTTTTTAGCTAAAGAGCAACATCAGTTGTGTGTTTTAGGAAGATGCTTCTGAATATTGCATGGCTTGTAGGGGATGTTGATTACTTAAGCCAGTGAGGTAAGGAGGGCACGGAAAAAAATGGAAAGTTTGAGTCTTAGAACAAGAGGCCTTGACAACTGATAGGTGAGGGGTGGATGCAAGGAAGATGACAGATTTTTAGCCTGGCTAATTGAGTTGGTGGTCCCAATAACTGGGAATAGCCTGAGAATGAGGAAAGAAAATGATGGTTGTCTTGAAGACACAAAAAATTTTATAGTATTTGATTTGATTCTCACAGAGATCACAGTTGTCAAAAACATAACTTTCCCTAGGTTATTTACATTTAAAAATTGTTATTGAAACCTTAGTTCCATGTAATTAATGGATACTTAATTGAGAAATTCCAGGCTTTAGAGAGTGATGGAAGATATGTATTTTCGTGGCAGGAAGGTCTGAGTTCCCAAAATCATGGAAGTCATCTGTTTGTAGGCAGTGTTCCCCCTAATATGTTTAGATTGTAAGCAGGTGCCTCCTACTACATCAACAAATCATGAAGGCTCAGAATATTTGAAGGGTTTAGTGCTATGAAGTATACTTTAAAACAATTAATGGTAGTAACAGTTTTCTAGCTCATTTAATGTCATGAATAATTGTTGTTTAACAATAGGGTAATTTTATGTAAAGAAAGCAAGTTGTTCACATTAAAACTGAGTTAATATTACTAGAATGCAGCTAGACCAGTCTTTCTTCCATAGTTTTATTGTTTGTTGCATTGTTCATATTTATTTATAGTGTCATTCATAATCAGTTGTTCCTAAAACCACATAGTTTAATCTTTATGTCTTTCTCTCTTGTGTGGCGTGTGTGTGTGTGTGTGTGTGTGTGTGTGTGTGTCTGATTGAAAAGAAAAGTTGGAATTTTACCGTATTTTCTGAGTAAATTTACTTTCAGAGACTAAGGAAAGATCCCCTACCAATATTTAATTTACTTAAGAATTGTAAACTCAACCATATTTATAGAGTGCCTACCATGTGGCAAACCCTAAAGGGTACTAGAGATAACAATAATGAATAAGACAAGTCCTGACTTGATGGACTTGAACAAAGTAATTAGGCATAGTACTCATTGTTCTAAAAGAGATTGCAGTTTCGGTCCCAGACCACCTCAATAAAGCAAGTATCTCAATAAAGCGAGTCCTAATCTTTTTGTTGGTGGAGAGTCTTGTCTTTGATTTGTCAAACACACATCTGTGAGGCTCAATAAAGCGAGGTGCAATAAAACAAGGTATGCCTGCAACCAGGTGGTATTGTGGAGAATAAGTGAGAGTCCAGCTTCCTATAGGGTAGTCAGAGAAGACACCTTGAATAGGTGACATTTGATCTTAGCCCTATGGAGGTGCAGACGCAGATGCAGACACTGCCAGTCAAAGAGCCTGGGGAAAAGCTTCCAGGCAAAGGGGAAAGTACCTGCAAAATCCTGAAGGCAGGAAGGAGTTCTTGGAACGAGGAAACCATTGAGGCTGAGGGATGCCTTTTTCTTCTGAGAGGCCGTATATTCAGATTCTTTCAGCGAAAGGACCTTAGAAATCCTCCAGGGTAACCCCCTGTAGCATGCTAATCCGTGTTACATCCTATTGTAGATACTTGAATAACATAATGAAGAAATGGGGGAGTTGATCCAATTTTATTTTCAACCATTAGATTGTTGGAAACATTTCCCTTGTATTAAACTTTAAGTTACTCTTTCACCCACTGATCCTAGTTCTTTCAGGTCAACACAGAATAGTGTAAGCCCTTTGTCATGGGGCAGCCCTTCAGCTACTTAAAGACTCCCATCTGGTCTCTGCCCAGAATTCTGTTTTGTAGGCCAGTCAGCTTCAGCACTTAGTTTCAGTGTCAGTTCCCAGGTTGTTTTTCATCCTGGTTGCTTAAGTTGGGGCATGTTCCAGATTGCTCCTTAAAAACTGTGCTCTGTCTGGGACAGACATACTTCTGGAGTTATAGTTAGGAGATGGGGGTGGGAGACTCCCCATTTTGACTCTGTACCAATAGTACATCAAATTAAGATCACATTACCTTTGGCTTTTTTTTATAACCTCATTTCACCGATAATCTTATTAGGTTTGTGAGCCAGTAAACTTTTGGGGGGGCCCAGGCAGGACTTTCCATTTATATTTAATCCTTTTATATTCAGCCCTATGTAAATGTGTATGATGACTTTTTTGGGATACCATCTCATTATCTCTAGTAGCCACTCTTGAAGCAGTAGCTCTGTGTCATGTCAGGAACGTCTTCTTCCAAGCCATTCATAGAAATCTTGACCTATAGGGCTATCAAAAGAACTCTTTGGCAGGTTACTGCACTAAGTAATCAGCACCTTTTGGGTGTGATAAATCAAATTCATTTAACTTAGTATTTCTCTCAGCTTATAATGTGTTTTGTTCACACCCCTCTCCTCCACCTTCCTAAATAGGAACTTTAGTTCTGGGCCTGCTCTTTTCTGACACTGCATCCTGTTTCTTTCCTTTGTTGTCCTTACAAATTTGTAATTATGTTTATGTATTTGTTTATTGTCTCTTCCAGCAGGATCTATATCCCTCTTTAGACTGCAGGCCTCGCATAGGACCTGCAGATAGTAAGTAGTTAAATATTTTTTTAAATTAATGAGTGGTTTATACTATTATCCAGCCCACTTTTTTTTCATCTAGTCCACAAAAATTCCATATCTTTCAAATAATTTGCTGAAATACATATGTACTTTGTCAGATTCTTTTATCTTGTTATTTTAAAAGTCTTAGTAGTATGAATTGTACTTAGTAAATTCATGCCAGCTTCTAATTCTTTTGTGAATTAACTCTTAAATTCATTGCAAGCTGCTGCAGGTAATACCAAAATTAAGAAGGTGATTCCTGCCTTCAACACCTTTATATTTCATTGGGGGCAATGAAAGCAGTTATGCACCTCCCTAGAATATACAGCAATTCAAAGGTAGGAGAGATACCATCTGGTTGGGAAGAACGTTGGTTTCTTGGAGGATAAAATGTCATCTGGGTCTAAAGAACAGATTCCAGGAGAGGGGAGGGCATTGCGGACACTTAAGCCTGAATAAAGGGTACAGAATACAGTTACACAGCAGAAACATAATAACCCTCAGTTTCTCGGTAACAGCCTTTCCTGCTTCCAGCAGAAAGGGTTTGCAGTGCCTGTGTGATCCTCCCAGACTTCCAAGGTAGGGGAATAGTGTAAACAAGAAGATCCAGGAGAGAAACTTTGCCTCACTTTATCTCCAGTGAGGCTTGATTAAATGCAATTTGAGGGAGGAGGATATTCAAAACCAGAAATGGCTTCCAAAGGGATTTTTACCAAGATACGCAGTATTTACTTTTGTAACAAGTTAAAATTCCTGCTGGATATGTGTTGAATAAATACCTTTCCATCTATTTTGCAAGCAAGTTCTAGTGTTTATTGCCTCATATGGAATGGCATAATCTAAATTAGTTTCTTTTGCAGCATTAGCAAATATTTGGTGCAGAGGTAAACAAAGTAGCCCACCAAGAGTACGGACCTTCCTGCCTGCTATTAAAACAAATTCAAACAATTATTTAGATATTTCTTTAACATTGAATAAAAATGAGGAAGGCTATAGTTTAGTACATCAGTCTGTTGAAAGATATCCTATCTGCCCTGCCTTTAGTACTTAAATAAAGAAGCTTGCATTTTTATCTTAATTCATGTTAAACATTTATACATGAACATTTTCTTATAATCTGACTTTATCTCAGAATGTAACACTTTACGATATGAAACTTGTGTAAAACAGGGTAATTTAATATTTCCAGCTCCTGTGCGACACAGTGGAGACCATGGAAAAAGACTGTTTATCATCAAACCTTCTGGATTCTATGACAAGCGTTTTCTGAGTTTACTGGTGAGTTAAAAATTTGTTGAAGTAAACTGTTCATATAAATAGGAAGAACTTTTTGACTTATTTAGGAAGCATCTTTCATTTTATAAAAGACTTTATTTTGTAAATTTATATTTCTTTACTCAGAAGATATTGAGATTGTATAGTAAGGTCTGATTTGTTACTGGATTTCTTTTTTTAAATTAGTTAACCTTTTTTTCTTCAAAAAAAGGATTTATGCTTTATGCTTATTGGAGGTAAAAATTGAGCCAATTCTTTTTTCTCAAGATTATGGGATTTTGAAATATAATCTGTTTCCTGCCTGCCCCACCTCCCCATCCCCCCATCTATAAATTATAAAACGTTGAAAACAGACTCATTTGAGGATAATATTTGTATTACCAAAATATCCTTTAAATTACCAAAGAACTCTTTGAAGTATTTCTTTAAAAAGGAACACCCTTATTTTGGGATATTTCTTTATTTCTGTGTTGTTTAGGAACACTAATTACAGAGTGAAGCAGGATACTCACTGTACATTTTTAACTCAAGGTTTTTATAATGAAAAGTAGAGGTTTAGAAGATGGAAGATTGTCTGGACTCGACCACTATTCCTAAAGCTGTGTCCACCTTGAGCATGGGCTGCTCTCTAGAGCTTCTCTTGCTCCGTCATTATGCATTGAGCTCCCACTTTTCTTGTCATGACCAACTCAAACTTGATACAGAGGTTGAAAACACCTTGGTATTTTTATGCTTTTCTTCTTAATACAAAAGTCTCTTAACTTTCATTACATTGCTTTAACCAAAAAATGACGACTTAAATATATATTGTATTATACTTGAACAATTAATCTTTTTTTCTTTCATTTTTTGTGCCAAATATAAGCATCTAAAAGCTAGAGCAAAAGAAAATCACAGAAATAAATAATTTGATATTGCATCTCCAATTTGACAAGTTTATTTTGCAAGAAATATAAGGAAATTATGTAATGAGGACAATTTAAAGGTGGGAAAAGAGAGTTAGGAAGTGGTTGTATGAAAACTTTTTTTTTTAATCTTAACAGAAATTCTACATTTTGTTGACTGGGGTTCCAGTAGTAATTGGCATAACTCTGGTGAATATATTCATTGGTAAGTCTCTCCCCCCTAGCAAGATAGATAAATTTTTAAAGCCTATGAACATTAATAAGAAAAAGAAATTATGGATAAGGAAAAACTCTTTAAATAATAAAATAAACATAAGCATGGGATTTTATTTTAAAATAACCAAATCTTAATCCATAATAATGTACAATGGTATTTTTTAAACATTTTTTTTTTCTTTCAAAATGTTTAGGTCACTGATTCTGTAGTGGGCACACACAAAGCTTCAGAAACCTTGTCTTTCTCCTCCTCCTCATTTCCCAAAAACAACTTTGACAAAACAGAGTAAGAAAAAGAGAAAGAGGTGAAAGAGAGGCTGGGATGGCAGAGTTTTTTTCATCCATCCTAGAACATATAAAATTGCAATCTAAAAATGAATGAAATTGTGAATAACGTAAACATTAGATTTTCATGGGAAATTCTGCTTAGAATACTCTCAGCATCTTGAATCCTAAAATGTTTTTTTCTAGTTGGTATAGGAAATACCAGAAGGAATAATATGTCTTTCATTATATCTTGTTATCCTATGTAAAAACAAAATGGGAAACTCTCATATAGTGCCTATAGCCAATGTCTTACATATGGAAGACATCTAAAAATTTTCTAATGAATGGATTTACAATCAGATTGAAGTTAATTTAAAATATTAGATGTTTTCATTGATACAAATAGAAGGTCCCTTTAAAACCACAAGAAGTTGTTTTCTTATTTAAATAGTGAAGACTTGCTATTATACACTCCTTATACTAAAGTTGACCACTGTTTTATTAGGTGAAGCTGAGTTAGCAGAAATCCCAGAAGGCTATGTCCCGGAACACTGGGAATATTTCAAGGTTGGTATAAGTCACCAAAAGTTACTTTCTGTTAGGGATCTTGTGTATGCACTGGTTAATGTCTTAATTTAGTAGTTTAGGTACAGTTTTGTTTCTTTGTTTGTTTTAGTTTTAGAAATGTTATTGGGAAACAGTGTGTTTTTCCAGGACCAGTCAGTTCCAAGTCAAGTAGTTGTTTCAATTTAGTTGTCGGTGGGGATGCAGCTCCTTGGCCCATGTGGGAATCGAACCGGCAACCTTAGTGTTATGAGCCTGTGCTCTAACCACCTGAGCTAACCGGCCACCCTAGATACAGTTTTATAGCCAAGTTTTGGAATCAAGTAGATAAATACATTTTGTGCTCACTTTTTACAAGCAACTTCTTTTGGTAATTTCTGCTTTATTTTATTATTTTAAGCTTTATGGTTTTGTAAAGGATGACTGCAGTGTGTTCTCAGCCTAGCATGCTTATCCCAAGTTCAATGCCATAGGAAAGATTTTTTTTTTTTTAAAGATTTTTATTGGGGAATTGGGGGGATAGGAACAGTGCTGGAGAATTGGGGGAAGGGGAACAGACAAGTTGCTGTCGTTTTGTTCTTCAGTCTAGTTGTGGAGGACGTTGCTTCACTGGCCCAAGTTGGCACCATCATTGCGCTCTTCCCTGGCGAGGCAGATCAGTCGCCGGCTTCTGGACGGCCGCTCACTGCGGCTGTTGGCCGCTCACGCTGGCTGCTGGCTACACACGGTAGCCCATGGCAACCCACTGCCATAGGGGCGGCAGCCTATGCCGTCGCTGGCGACTCATGGCAGCCCTGCTCCAGGTTAAGCTGTTGTTCAGCATCTTAGCTGTAGAGGGCAGTGTCACTGGCCCTCATATGTGGGATCCGAACCGGGGCCCTCTGGCATCTCAAGCCAGTTCTTAACCGTCGCGCCACTCAGCCGGCCCCATAGGAAAGATTTTATTAATACTTGTGCCAGCTGCCATTTACTGAGCACCTACTGTGTAGGAGGCACAATGGTAGTGCTTTGCAAATATCTCATGCCATGTAAAGGTACTATTCTGAGTCCCACTTTAGAGATGAGGAAACTGAGGCTTAAAAGAGATTAAGTGGCCTGTCCAAGAGATAGAGCCAGGATTTGAACCCAGACAGTCATGATTCGAAAGCCCACATTGTTAGTCATTTTATCACACTGTCACTGCTATCAAAACCCCAAATTAATTGTTACTTGTCTTTACAAGTGTTGTAGTGAGTGGCCTTAGAGTATATCTTATCATGTTTTATTATCTGAATGAGTTACATTTTAGGAAAGAAGTGCTTCATTCATATCTTAAATCTTAAGACAAGTAATATACTTAGTTTACCTTTTCTATTTGGTAGAAAATGCTCCAGTTTGGGACCACCAAACCCTGGGTTTGGCTCCTAAATCTGCTGCCTCAGTGACTCAGCTCAGGTTTTGGAGTCAGACAGACCTGGTTTTGAGTCCAATGCTGCCGCTTCGTAACTGAATAAACTTTGTGCAATTTGCTCATCTATAAAATGGGAACAAAAATAGTATCCACCTAATGGATTAAAATTATTTAAAATATGTATGAAGTAGTTGGTACATAATAAGTGTTATTGGTTTACCCGATATAGTCATTTTAAAGAATAGTAAACTGGAAAAGCAAAATACTGCCCAGAAACTAATTTTAAACAAATTTTCTCTTGTAGCATCCTATATCAAGATGGATTGCCCGAACTTTCTATGATAGTCCTGAAAAGAATTATGAAAGAACAATGGCTATCCTTCAAATTGAAGCTGAAAAGGCTGAATTGCGGTAAGGGGTCGGGGAGAAGAGGTCAGGGAAGAAAATCCTTTACTATGGTTGCAAATGACAAGAAAAAATGTAATAAAACCATTTCAACACTATAGGATGCTGTAGGTAAAAGAATGAAGATGGGGTGAGAATTAGCCTATTTAGGGTGGAGACTGTGAGGTGGAGACTAGGAAACTGTTAGGAGATAATACCTGTCAAATAAAAAGGAATTATTTTTTAAAATATCCTGCTCATTTAAGAACAAGGCAGCCCTTTCTTCTTACCTGCCTTCTCGCAATTATTTTCCTCCTGCACCCAGTTTTGTTCTTAGAGGTGACCACTATTGAGTGATTTCTTATATATGTTCCTAGAAAGAATTTCATGCATTAAAAAATATATTTTATATATCATTTACAAATATATTAACACAAATGTAATCCTCTTATAAACAGTGTTCTATGCCTTGTCTTCATTTCATTTAAATATATCTTGGTGATCTTTCTGTAATAGCATATACCTCATTCTTTTTAATGGGTGCGTCATATATCTCACTAGATGGATGTGCCTTAATTTTTTAACCAGTTTTCTATTGTTGGTACTTAGGTTCTTTCCAAGTTTTTTGATATTATATACTGTGCTTTGGTGAAGAGCTCATACATATATTTTTGCACATTCAATATATGTGGAATATAATTTCTAGCTGTGGCATTGATAACTCAAATGTTACATGTTTTAAATTTTAGATGTATGTTGCTAAATTCTTCTAAAAGTTAGGCCAGTTGTCTTTTCTGTCACCAGTATGTGATAATTTCTGTTTCTCCATACCTTTTCCAGTAATGGAATTCATCAAACCTAAACATTTTTTGCTGATAAAATAGTTGAAAAATGTTATCTCATCATTTCAATTTTGTATTTTTTGTAAGGTTGAGTATTTTTTCATATATCTATTGGTTGTTTGTATTTCATTTTCTTCTGTAAATTGCCCATTTTTCTACTAATCTGTACATTAATGAAGTTAATGTTTGTTTTTCTTATAGATATGTTTTCCTGGCTTATCATTTGTCTTTTGACAGTGTAGAATGTTTTGCAACATAGAAGTGTTTTTATGTTTCAGATAACAAAAATGTAGTAGTAGCTAATATGTTTTGAACACTGCTTTAATAACTAGTGCTTTAATAACTTTGTATGTATTTACTCAATTATTGTCAGGTTTGTCAGTCTTTTTTCTTTAGCTTCTGGGATTTTGTGTTATGTGTAGGTCCCTGATAGTAATTAAATAAGTAAATATATATGTCCAAATTATTTTTTTAAATGCTTGCTCGTGTTTCCTTTTGCTACTTTTAAATTTGATCCCTTCTGAGATTTATTTTGGTATTTTGAGTGAGGTTTACATACAACCAAATGTACTCATTAAGTTCAGTGGGCGTTTCACAAAAGTGTATCCTGTGAAACCATCACAATCAAGGTCATTTTGATTACCTACTAAGCCTCTTTCTTGCTCCTTCCAGTCAATCCCCATCCCCGACTCTTGGTCTCAGACTACCATTGATCTGCTATCTATTCATCCTGTTTTAATCTTGGTAGTTTATAAAAATTGCTCTGATATTGAAAAATATTTAAATGATTAAGAACAGAGGATTAGCTTGTTTTCTAAATGTGGCATTACTTGTATATATAGTTACCATATAGAACTGTCACTAAGTATTTAAGAGCATGGAACAGCAATAGGCTCATACTTAGTAACATTGGACTTCTTTGAACTTCACACGTAGACCTTTGAGTTCCAGTTAAAACACCGGATCCCAGAACTCCTTAGACATATAGAGATCCTAAACGGTTTCAAAATAAAAGTGAAAACAAAGACAAAACCCTGAATTCTACCACCAAAGGAAAGATGCCAGTGTGAGCATGGAATTGGTAGTACCTACAGTTTTTAAGAAGTATATGTTTAGGTATTGGAAAAACTGCAGCATAAAAGAAATATATAAAATAAACAGGTACTATCTCCCATAATTAATTCCCCTAGAGATAACTGTTATTTTTGGTCTTCCAGATTTTTTAATACTTTGTGCACGCGTGCGTGTATATAGTCACAAATGATTACTTTCTGTTTTTTAATGAGATAGGAAGATGCTACATACTCATTTTTCATCTTGCTTTTTAACCTAACAGTATATCTATCATCTCCTTCCATGTTACCAAATGTAGGTTTTCCTCATTCTTTTGAACAGGTGCATAGTAGACCATTATATGGGTTAACCGTAATTTATTTAACCAGTCCCCTTTGATGAGTATTTTAATTATTTGCATTTTGGATAATTAATTCTAAAGAGTAGAAAAGGAAAAGGATGATATTTAATACTAAATAAAAGGTAAATATGTTCTCTTAGATACACAATCACAAAAGTATATAATCTCTTATAGATAGGGTTAGTGAGCTGGTTAAGGTTAATAAAGTGAGTCATTTAACTGTGACATATTTCCAGTCATGAAAAAGTTGATAAGTAGTCTATAAAAATGGAAAGTAAAAAGTTTTATGCACAGGGACTACTTAAGGAATGTGTGATAGTTTGTACAAAGGCTTGGCTGTGGAAAAGGAAAGTATCTTTATAGGATCGAGATTATTGCTTGCAAAGAAAGATGAAGACAACAAGTAAGTAGTAGATCTTGGAATTGGAGAATGTTTTTCTTAATCCTGATTTTTCTTTCTTTTCTTTACAAACATTTATTGTCTGTCTGACATTGACCAGGCTCAGTGTGATGCTGGTTGCTGGTGAATAAGACACCATTCTTGCTTTCAAAAGGTTTTCCATCCTAATGGTGATGGACAGCCATATAAACAAGGGGATGTGAGCTCCTCCAAAACGGCTTGTTACTTTTTTAATTCCTAGCTCTTGGACAGCATATGACCATAATATTAGACGTTCTGTCAATGACTCTCCTAACATCTAAAAGGCAGGAAGGCAGGAAATGCCTTACCACTATTCAGGTGAAAGTGATCTGTTCAGATAGAGCAGGGACAGGAGGAGAGAAGTGATTGTCAATTCAAATGATGTTTTGGTGATTAAAAACAACATTTGTTGGCTAACTATGGAAGCAAGATAATAAAAATCAAAAACAAGTCCCAAATTTTGCTTATAGGTATATATCAGATACATGTGTACACGTGGATTTGTGGAGGGAAATTATACTTTACATAAAGCAAAGCACTCTAGTGGTTGTCCTCTATGGTGATAACTCATTAAATTTGTCATTGGAAATGTTAGAATCACAATGTTGCTATTTCATTTCTTACAGGTTAAAGGAGCAGGATGTACGAAGATTAATGCGTGCGAGAGGCGATGGTCCCTGGTATCAGTATCCAACCATTGATAAGGAGCTTATTGATCATGCTCTAAAAGCAAGCCCTGACAACTAATCTTTTTATTTCTCTAAATACAAAGGATATTCTCTTTATGGGAAAATAAATTAATAAATATATTCTGTACTTTTGCTGAGTGTTGCGAATTAAAGTTCCTCTTCCATTGCTCTATTTCTCAATGTTGGTTCAGATTAAGGCTTTTTTGTGTGTGATTTTAATTTTTTTTTCAGATTTATGAGGTATAATTGACAAAATGGTAAGATATTTAAAGTATATATTGTGATAATTTGATATAAGTATACATTATGAAAGGCAGGTTAAGGTTTTTGATTTGGTGGTTTCAGCTTCCTCTTTTAAGAAGGTTTAAAGTACCCCCCACCCCCCCAAAAAAAATGTCGGAGAAATAGGAATTTGTGAACTCCTTCAAGGTATAACTTGGAAAGGTTAATGTTTTACTTGTCTGATAAGTGGAAGTTAGAAGTCTGATTGTGTTAAGTATCAGGAAATACAGTCTTTTATATACGTGTCTATATTGTAGACATCTGGATTATTCAGGGGCAACTCAGAATTTTAAATTATACAAGTATTGAACCAATTATATAAAACATGAACACCTTAATAAATTTTCAGTGAACAAATCTCAAAGTTTATATTTTTTAGCCATCTATCATGTTTTTGAAAGACACACACACACACACGCACGCGCGCACACACACGTGCATTTTTCTTAGATGCAATCTCTAAGATTCTTTGGAGTCCTTTTTGTAAACATTGGAGTTGTTCCACAAGGTAAAATGATGACTGCAAAGATTATAAAACGTGAGTGAAAGCTTAAATAATGGCTGCCATTTAGTAAGCATCTGCTATCTGCAGAGCACTGTGCTAAATATCTGTATTTTTTCACATTATTTTTTAAAATGACCTCACGAGGTACTATTACTTTCTGTGTTGAACAGCTGAGAAATTGAGGCTCAGAGATTTTAAACACATACTCAAGATTTACAAAAATAAACATGTACACTTCAAATTCCAAAATGACTTTTCGCTTCAACAATTTATTATTTTCAGTGAATGCCTTTTGAGTGCCCTTGTGCCCAAACCCTATAAGTGCCCTTTACAATCCAGCCTTTGCGGTGGTTGCATTTTGTTATTTTCCCAGAAGAGGGCGACCTCACCCAGCAACATCCCGATTCTGTCATGAAGATTCCCTGTGCAACCTAATGACCCCCTCGTAATTCTGCCAAAGGATTTCAGAGAAGAGCATGCTGTCCCTGAGCCCCTGCTCGCACAAACCATTCAGTCTGTAGGAGAAACGTCAGGAAAATGGAAGCAGAGAGGTCTTGTAAGTGATGACTAAATGATACCACATCTGCACGTTTACATTTCACTTTTTCTAGACTTTATAGGTCTTTTTGGCATCAGTAGGTTTTACTTTATTTTCTCCTTTCTACTATAGATGTAAGAAAAACAACATAGCAAATATGATGGTGTTATAAGAAATACTGATAAACCCACCACCCATAGGAAATTTGAGAAATTTCCTTCAGTCTTTTTCTTTTTGAACATAGCTGGGATCATATATATATATATATATATATATATATATATATATATATATATAAAGTGGTGGGGGGGTTTTTGTTGGTTTTTTAATTTGAAAGTATTTTTTGGAGGGAAACATTAATAAAGCGTTTGTGTGTTTATACTGATTTTTATACAAACTTTTTCCCAGTTCACATATTTAAGCTCGTTATATATTGGTCATTGTGATACATACTGGGGATAAAGTGGTCATCACAGTAGACATGTTTCCTCCGAAGAGCTTACTCTAGCACAGAGGACAGACATTAAATCAGAAACTATATGCATTGGGTTTGATAGGAGAGGAACAGGGCAGTGTAGCAACCTGTGAGATCCCAAGCTAGCCTAGGGGTACATTCAATGACTAAGCCCATTTTATAATATGTGGAACATAGTAGGCACTGAGTAAAGATCTGTTAGTGAGTGATATTTGGATTTAACACTGTTTTGGGTTATCTTTGAATTATCTTTTTTCTTTTTCTGCAGTTGTACAGGGCCTAGCATGGTGTCATAAAAAAACATGGGCTTGAATTGAGCAGACTTAAGACTAAATCCTGAGCTTGCCAATTGCTCTGGCAATAATAATGACTACCAGCTGTTTAGTACCTGCTACATGTGCCAGACACTACACTAGGAACTTTCTATTTAATCTTCCTTCTAGCTCGGGTTAAGAAATTTCCTTCACTGCTGTGAGCCCTATCTCTAAAATGGGAATATGCTTTTCATCCCACAGGGCTGTTGTGAAGGTTACTGGGCCAGTGTATGTCAAGTGCCCACTACACTGGTAAATAATCGGTGATAAATATTTCTCTCTGTCAACTAAAGAATAAAATGGCCCACTCCTTTTTCAAGGAAATTACATACCCCACACTATCTCTGCCTCAGGCTTATTGACTTCAAAGAGTAGTGGAGTTATAGGAAGACTAGAGCCAATGGGCAATGTTTTTAAAACTCCTCTCAAATTGTGGAAAAAATCGTTACCAAATTCTGAAATGTAAATTCACCGTACTGTTCTCGTTAGAAACAAATACACTCTGCTAGAAATCACAAGGCGTTAGCAGTAAATTCTCTGGGCTCAATCTCTTTCCTTTTATCAGTGTTCCTCGAATTGCCGTCCTTCTTAGTTTCAGCCATCTATTTTTGCCTTCACATAGGATACATACGTAATATTTTTTTTATTTATCTTTTTAACTTATATTTTTAAAAAGTTATTTCATGACTATAAATAGAAAATCAGTCACTTGTCATAATTAAAACGTAATCACCAATAACTATGTGTTACATTTTTCCTCGATTCTGTTGCCTTCCCAAGGCTCTGAGCCTAAGGCCTGGCTCGCTCTCTGTTAAAAAGCAAGAATTTAAAAAGGAGATTAGTGGTGTTAAAAACATACTAGTACTGAGTGGAGACTTCTCTTCATGTAATCAAATAGAGAAATGAAAAGGCAAAACTTGGTCATGATGTGATGAATTATCTCTCAACCTCCAGGTGCATGCCTGCAGTTTGGAAGATTTTTTTTATATAGAAAGTACTGATTTGGACACATTTTCTTCAAATACCAGTCTGATCACACATGGTCCAAGAACATTCAGATAATAAACTAAAAAAAAAAAAACATGTTAATGATTGGTCTCCAAACATTATAGCCAATGATGCTGCACTTGCCTATAATCCAACCAACATAAAACCATATCCACACCTCAGTGGCCACCAGAGCTTCCTTAACTGTGAGCTGTTTGAAGCTACTGGTTTGAGCACTATTGACTATTTTTTTTTTAAGCTCTGAATAGCTGTGGGGATCTCAGCAGTGTTGGAGGAACCGACCCAACCTTGGTGTAGTGCCAGAATGTGGCCACTGAGGCTTTGAGTAAGTCACAGCAGCGTTTACCAGCGCTGGGGCCCTTGGCGAGGTTACAGACAAACTGGGCCATGGTTCTAGGATGGAAAGTCAAAGATTTTTGCATATTTCATTAAGATGGTAACACCTTTGACATTGGGAAATATGGACATAAGTAACCTCTAAAGTAGCCATTATAATTTTCCTTAAATCACATTTTTATTGTTTTTCAAATTATATATTAATTGCTAAAAGATATCACTTAGCATGGCATTTAATTAGTTATCTAGAAGCATAAGTTATTCAGCATTTCCCATCAAAATCCAACTGCAGAGAGTTTCTTTTTGGTAAACATTTGAGCAGAACCTACCTAGAGTCGTGATCTCTTTTTCTATTTTTAATCTAACAATCACATTTTCAGAGGGTTATCTTAAGCAAATGATCCACAAAAATAAAAAACCTATATACATTAAACTCAATATATAATAATGAAAAATCATAAGCAATATGTACTTAATAGAATGATTTGTAAATTAATACTATAACACTTGATGCAATATGACATAGCCATTAAAAGTAATTATAAAAATAGTTATGTAGCAATGAGGGAAAACACCTATGTTAAGATAGAGGTACAGAAACTATTATAGAAATTCAAAATATATCACAAGTGAGATGAAAGTTCGCTTCTCTCTCTTTGTAAAAGTCTCAGCTAGTATGGTGGCCCTCCGTGAAATTCTCAGGATCCCAGGTTCCTTCTAACCGTTGCTCTTCCATCCTCTCCATGCAGCTTCCACTTCATGGTCCAAGACTGATCTAGCCAGCTCCTGCTATCATGACAAATCCCAGGCAATGGAAAGAGGAAAATAGAAAAGGGCGACGTGCTCTTTCCCCTGTAAATGATAGGCCTGGAAATCATGTCACGTCTCTTCCCATATCACCAGACAGGACGTAGTCACATGACCATGCCCTCCTTCAAGTAATGTGTCCAGCTAAAAGTTTTGGAGAACAGATATTGAGGGAAAATGAGTGGTCTATAATGTTAAGTAAAAGTATCAGGATACTAAAGTAAATATACACTAAAGGGTAATTGTACCGTGGAGAAGTCAGGCACACCTTGACTTGCTGATCAAAATTAATATCATACAAAAAAACTACCACACATGAGGGATTTATGGCTATTGCCTGAGAAGAATACAACCTAGGCAGTATGCCGACCAAGAATGTATAGGCTCAGTCTAATTCAATCCAATCACAAGGAAACATCACACAATCATGGTAAACATTCCATTAAAAAGAAAAATGCTGGACTGTATTTATTAAAAATGTGAATATCATAAGACAAAGGCTGTGGAAATCGTCCATGTAAAAAGGAAAAGGAGACAAAACTAAATGCAATGCCTGACACTACATTGTACTGGAGTAGGGGAAATGTCTAAGGACATTATAAAATTATTAGTGGTTATATAATATCCCTCTTCTTAGGGACTAGACATATTTAGGGGTAGAAAATAGACACATTTAGGGGTAAAGGTGATGTATGTGACTTACCCACAAATGGTTAAGAAAAATACCATTTATATGTATATATGTGTGTTCATATACATACGAGTATATGTGTTTATACATATATATTCTTGTGTGTCTACATTTGTATATTTATATATATTTGTATATATAGAGGTCTATATATTAATATGTATGTTATGGGCTGAATTGTGTTACTCCAATATTCATAGTTGGGTAATAAGCCCCCAGTACCTCAGAATATGACTGACTGTATTTGGCAGTGAAACCTTTAAAGTAATTAAGGTGGGCTGGGCTGGGCCCTAATCCAATATGACTTGTCTTTTAAGAAGAAGGGATTAGGACACAGACATGTACAAAGGAAAGACCACATGAAGACACAGGGAGAGGACAGCCATCTACAAGCTAAGGAGAGAGACATCAGGAGAAACCAACCTTATTGACAACTCGGTCTTGGATTTCTAGCCTCCGGAACTGTGAGAAAATAAATTCCTGTTGTTTAAGCCACCCGGTGTGTGTACTTTGTTACGGCAGCCCTACAAGACTATTACAATGTCTGTGTGTATGTCTACATATCTGTGTGTGTGTGTGTGTAAATTATACACCCATGTCCATACACACAAATACAGCAATGAAGGACAGCAAATACAAGCAAATGAAGTAAAAGGTTTATGCAGATAATCTGATAAAAAGTA